AACTGCAAAATAGAATAAAAACTTGCCCTGAGATTTAATCCCTCCATAATTTGGTTTGTGTCTACTTTATTATGGTACCTCCATCTCCCTTCTCTCCTTGATGCACCAACCTATTCATACCACCTTCTTCCAATCATCCTGGTCTCAATTTCTCCAACTGTTGGATTTCCAACTTGTGAGTTTTTATCTCCTTCTGATTAGAATACCCTTCTAATCATTAAATGCCAATGCAAATTCCATTTGCCCCCAAAGCCTCCCACCTTCCCCAGCAAGAATCTCTCATCACGTACTGAGCTAGCATTGCCCGTTATGTCTTCTCAATCCTCTCCCACTCCTTGAAGAAGTTGCCCCACCCACCAGCAGCCCAGAAGAGGCAAGCTCCTTGGTCATCAATTATTGGAGTAGCAGAGCCAATTGGAGATTTCTCTGCCAGGATTTGAGATTGAGCTCGCAGGCTGCATTAGCCATCAGACATAGGACCCTCTAGATCTGGATAGAGAGCTGGTGCCTTCCAAAGCACCTGTGTGCTGAGGGTAATGGGGGAGTAGAAACCAAGAGCCTTCTAGAGTAAAATGGCACAGACCTGCAGGGAGATGCAGAAATAAGGTACTGGGTGGGGGTGGGGCAGAGGAAATAAGAGTGAGAGACAGTTTTCTCACTCTGGGGTTTCTATGAACATCTTGCAGCTGAGTTCCTGGAGATATTCCAGCATCCTTAACATGAATCCAGTTTTAGTTATAAGTTAGCCCGAGGTAGTTGCTGTTCCTTGCAATCAATTGTCACTGCCCCTAAACCAGAAGGCTCTGTTCCCATAGTATCTTCCATGTGCCTCTACTAGAGCATTATCTCCTCTCATCACAGTTATGCAGATGTGTGTCTGCTTCCACCTGGGGAACAGCGCCCCTGTTCATTCAGTATCTCTGGAGCCTAGTACTTGTTTGACGCTCAAAAGATAGTTGTTGAATTTGAACTCTCCAAGTTCACAAAATGGTTTGATGATGTATCATTCGTTAGGCAAACCTTATAAACTCTATGTTTCCCTCCATATTTTACTATATTTGCATTATTTTACATCTTTCAAAAAATCAAATTTGCTTTCATGCTACTCACAAACTTTGTACATTTACATGGTTTGGCTTTCTCATTATTTTTGGCGGTCACCAGGAATAATTCATAGTTAACCAGTGGTCCATGCATCCCTCTAGTTGGTGAGAATGTCTTATATGCAACTCATCTTCCAGTATTCAACTGACTTTAACCTTGAAATAGATACTTCCATGAAGGCTGTTGGGGCAGCTTAATTTCAATGATGTCATTTAAAACACATTACAAAGTCAGCAGGCAGGCTAAGCACAACTGCTTCCTTTAAAAACCTATTCAGAATCATCGATCTTCAGAGCAGGGGCCAGTGGTTCTCAGGCTTTTGAGTTTCTATGAACCAGCATTAATATAAGAAAAAAAGGGAAGGGTTGCTGAATTTATCCTCTTCCAGAAAACAGCATTAAAACAAATATGTTTCTATTAACATAGTATAATTTCATAAAATAAAGGGCATGTTAACACCAATATTATCAAGAGCATTATCCCCTAATTTAAGCATCAAATACAGTCAAGTGTGGCTTAACAACAGACATAAGTTGTGAATCTTCAGGCAGTTTCATCATTGTGCGAATATCACAGAGTGTCCTTACACAAACCTAGATGGGAAACCCTATTACATATCTAGGCCATATGGTATAATAGCCTATTGTCCCTAGGCTACAAATCTGTACAGCATGTTACTGTACTGAATACTGCAGGCAACCATTACACAATGGTATCTGTGTATCAAAACATCTCTAAATTTAGAAATGGCATGGTAAAAATACGGTATTATAATCCTATGGGGCCACCACCCTATAGGCAGTCTGTCATTAACAAAAACATCTGTAGGTGGTACATGACTGCACATTAGATTTTTTAAAATACTCATGACATTTTGATTTCTAATGTTTAAAATATTTAAACATTTCTAAATAACATGCTTAACATGGTGCTTGGCACGTGGTCAATTCTCTGTATTACTATTATTAGTGTGTAATCAATGTTAGTCACTTTTCACACAAGGGAGAATATTTTTACCTTCCCAAAAGGTTTGCTGAGCTCCTTCATGGATTTGAAGTGTGTCCCTAAAGGGACAAGTTTTCCTGGGGAATGCAATGACTCTGACTCTGTAAAACAAACTGAGAAGATTTGAGATTCTCACAGGTATTCTGAGGAGTACAGAAGTGAGAGGAGGAGAGAAAAGAAAGGAGTCTGCAAGATGAAGAAACTGAGGACTCATTCCCATGAAGACCACAAACTTTCCTTGTTGAGAAGCAAGGTGGGTGAAGAATATTTTGCAACTTGGGATGGATCAATATACAGTTTGAAGGTTTTATATCTCAGGAATGTGAGTAACTTCTCTTTCATGCCACCCTACCTCCAGCTTCTGTAACATTTATAATATGCAATGGTGCATGAATGTTATGAATCGGTTTATGGTGGATATCATAGAAGGGTCTACATTTCTCATTTGAGTTGAAACAGTGTAGACCCCAGAGGGCCGCCCAAAAGCAGAGATCAGGAATCAGAGGTGACCAGAGAACAGAAGTTGCCAAGATCTCCGAAAAATCTCAGCCATGGTTTGAGCATGGTTCCTCAGCAGACACCTATCTTATGTCTTCATAGTAATGGAAGCCATTCTGGTTTCATACCTGGGCATGATAGGCCTGGTTCCAAAGTTCTGTACCTGCCCCAGCTGGGTCAGGTCTGTTTTTATGGTAGAATCACCTACAGTAAAGAGAACCCTGGCTTGGAGGTTTCTCTTTCTTTTCGTTTTTGTTTTGTTTTGTTTTTTGAGACAGGGTCTTGCTCTGTCACCCAGGATGGAGTGCAAAGGCATGATCTTGGCTCACTGCAACCCCCGCCTGCCGGGTTCAAGTAATTCTCCTGCCTCAGTCTCCTGAGTAGCTGGGACTACAGGCGCACACCACCACACCCGGTTATTTTTGTATTTTTAGTAGAGGCGGGTTTCACCATGTTGGCCAGGCTGGTCTCAATCTCTTGACCTCGTGATCCGCCCGCCTCGGCCTCCCAAAGTGCTGGGATTACAGGCCTGAGCCACCGCGCCCGGCTGGCTTGAAGGCTTTCAAGGGCTAGAGAGGAGCCCTGCTCAGGCTCCTTAGGTACAGCCAGAATCAGCGTTTAACGTACGGATATCTGACTCCCGCAGGACTGGATCTCCACGTGCTTGGAGGGATAAGCATCTATGATGTAACCACTAAGTAGTCAGAGGGCATGAGGAGTAACGCTGTTGCTGGGCAACCTGGCTTAGCTCTGTGGCTTTGGTTAAGGTACTACTCTATGCAAAATTCCTTGACGTCTTCCCTAATCCGCCTCCCCAGTTCTCCCTTCCTGAACACCAGGGAACCCACCGGCCTCCTTATAACTGCAGTTTCTGTGTTACGGTAGCGAGTAGTGACCAAGAGTTTAGGGTTTAGTGTTAGATAAACCAGGGTCCACTCTGCGACCCCACGCAACCTCCCCAGGCTGTCTGCACCAGTGTTGGCATCTGTCAAGTGGGTGGGGGATAACAGTGAATAACTGCTTCATAGACGGACTACCGGTTTAACCAGAGACTGACGGCGAGTCGCATATTAATCTTCCAATCACTTGGCAAACTCGTTTCACTCCGCATCTCTCCTCCCGGCTGTCCTTTCAACTTCCTCCTCCCTGAAATTTCGAAGATCCACCTCGGTGGGAAAGTCATTCCGTGTGGCGCGCCCTTTCCCTGCGTCCCTCCTTCCCAGGGCCCACCCTCCGCGGACGCAGAGCGTCTGCCGGGGGGACGGCCGGTCCGCGATGGCGGCCTCTGAGGTAGTTGGTCCCCTCTCTCCGTGGGCTTGGGAAGGGTCCGAAAGGCCCGCTCAGATCTTCTGCGGTGCTGCTCGGAGGGAAAGCGCCGCCGCCAGCCGAGCTGTCACGGGCGCGAGTGGAAGTACACCGCAGGATGAGCGACGCCGCTGCGGAGGTAACCGCGGGGACTGCGGCCAGGGACGGGGGATGGGTGCAGCAGAGGATAACGGGATGGCCGGCAACCGGAACGCGTCAGGCCCGCTCCGCTGGACCTCCTTACCAGCCCGCGTCCCCAGCCGTCCTCCCAGATCCCGACCGCAGCTTCAGAAACGACGGCCACATGGGTGGCGGCGCGCGCCGCGGGGGCTGGAATGTTGGCGTTGTGGGGGGGCGAGGCTGGAAGGGCCGCAGAGAGGTGAAGGA